CTCTCTCTCTCTCTCTCTCTCTCTCTCTCTCTCTCTCTCTCTCTCTCTCTCTTCTTCATGCATGCGCACTCTCTCTCTACTTGAAGATCTACACTGTGAATACATCCGCTACTACCTGGCACTATCTCCTCCTACTAGCTATGCGGCTATGGCCCCCTGCCTTCCTCACACAGTGCTGCCCAGCAGGGCTCTCACGCATGCCACCCGCAGGTAGCGCACAAACGCTTCAGCAGCACTTCCACACTTCTCACGAATGAGCAATCCCCCTCAAATGTGGCTGGCCAGTCCTTATATTGACTTGGACTGAGCCTGGACTCGTCCCAGCCTTGGCTTCCTTTGGCTCGACTTGGATCTGGTACCACATGCCCACGGCCTGTTTGCTTCAGAATGTCAAGGCCTGGTACCTTCCGGAATTTCATTGCTGTGCTGCTGCTTGGGACTGTGAGTCACGACTTTTCGTCTGTGGAACATGACTCTTGACTGTGGGATGTGACTTTTGCCTGGAGAAGTGTCCTTCGCCTGTGGGATATGACCCTTTCAATGTGAGACGTGACTTTTGCTTATGAAATGCAAGTTTTGCCTTCGGGATGTGACTCTCCCATGGGGTACCCGACTGTGACTTTTCTGAAACTGGCCAACTTGGGTCCCTTTGGCCTGAGACTTTGATCCTGAGATACGAATTTGGGGTCTGCATCGTGGAATGCCTTTCAATCCTGATGGATCATGGAAGCCAATTGATACAGTAATGCTAGGCGTCACCCCCCTTCAGAAGGGAGAAGAGAACCCACCCCGTCTGTACTAGACATGAGACAGCACCTCGTGTGCTACACGGCTTAGCATCCTCATTACATTATTCAATTTAGAGCCCCCCCCCCCTTCGCTTTCTTTAAAAAGGGTACAACAGCCCCTAACATTCTTGTATCCGTCTGATTCCGGGCAGGATTTGGATCGATGATCTATTTATCAACAGTTACACGCTCACCATTCGGACCATATTGCTAGCGCACACCGTGCAGGCAATTCGGCACGTGCTGCGCAGGGGGGAAATAGCCACCCGGGGAAAAAGAAAGGGGTTGCAGGCCTGGATCTGATTTCACCTGCGCCCCCTTCGGAAATTTGTAGGATGAAAAAAAAAAAAAAAAAGTTGGCAGAGCAATTTTCATGACTGATGCCCCAAAGACCTGTTTGAGGCTATTTATGATGCCCAATGAGACAAAAGGAAAGATTTGTATGACTGTACTTGAACAGGATCTGTTCCTGAGGTAGTACACTCTTGTGCATCTACAAAAACAGCAGGAAAAGACCCAGAAAAAAAACAGAGTTTATTTCTGGTGTGGTGAATGGGCAGGTTCCGTGCGTCATGCAGCGCCGTGCCGTGCGGACCGTGCGGTTGCAAGTATGATTCAGACACATAGTCTGTGTATTACATCTCCTTTTCTTTTCTGTCTCAGTATCATCACAAACTTGTTGCACAAGGCAAGCCGGAAAGACGAACAGAAATTTGAAATCGAAATGGACAAAACATAAGCTCGTCTGAAACAGGAATTCTGAATTTCAATGGGATTGAACATATGCTCGGCTGCTAGTAGTTGGCTGCTAGGACCAACTCGGCTTATCAGCTTTGTGACAAAAGAGAATATGGCCAGGCTCTGATGGCCTGCATTACGATCATATTATGCTCGCCTAGGAGGGGCGTGGAGTGTGTTTGGAAGTTTGGACGAGAATCATGAGATTTGGTAGTTGTCGGGTGCAGATTGAACACCTTGGTGGCTGACCCATAGCAGCCACAGAGCAGGTCTGACTCATTCAGCCTAACAGCAAGGTAATGAAACTGCCCAACCGTGGTTTTCTTCATGGGGTGCGAAATCTTGTTGTTGTTCAATTAAAATCTAATAACAACAATTAATATGAAAGTAATAATTTGTGTGCTATCTGTGGCTTACAGAATCGATGTCCAGCCCTGAGGTGGAAGAAGGCAGCAGCAGGCCACCGCGAGCGATGAGCCCGGGAACAGTTGCACTCATGTGTGATGAGCAGGACACATTGTTTGCTGAACCTCCATCGCCGCCAGGTGCGGGGCAGAGTGGCACTTCTTTCGGTGGTGGCATTGAACAGCGGTTTGCCAGGGACGGGCCGACATCGTCATACACAGCAGCATTGTATGCAGAGCAAGAGCGAGTGGTATTGGAGGAATTCTGCACCTGTTTGAAAAAGATCATCCAAGTCGGGAAGAAGCGAGGTGGGTGACCTATCATTTTTCATAGTCGTCCTCAGGGTTGCATACCTGCCGACCGCCGACCCCAACTGCCGACCGTATTGCAGCCAACCAGTAGGGCGGACCGGTCGGCGGTCTGCCGACCAGTCAGAAAACAACCATCCCCTGATTTTTTTTTTCAAATCTGAGTTGGTGGCTGTACTGCGCTTGCTGGGTACAGCCTAAATC